CTTCCCAAGCTGTCTGGGAGCTGGTGTCTGGCGGTGCAGGAGCCCTCCTGGTTTCTCCATTCAACGTGAAGTGGGAATGCTACACGTGGGCTGGGGGTGTGGAGGAGTCAAAGTTTTGCCTCTTCTTGGTGGTTATTCCTGTAATGTGTATCTCCAGCATCTCTCCAAGATTTTACTTTAGGAAGCACGCTTTCTGCTTCCTCCCTCTAGCTGCCATCTTGGAATCTCCTGGGTCTTGCTTTTTAATCCAACCTACTATTCTTGGTCTCTTGATTGGAGGGTTGAGCCCATTAATATTCAGTGTTAGTATTGAAAGGTATGTAGTATTTCTTGTCATTTTTTTCTGTTGCTGTTTTTGTGTTGTTGTTTCTTTTCTAATCCTCATTTTCGAATCTATTTTTCTAGTGGCATTTATTTTTTCTTGTATTTTCTTAGTTGTGTTTATCTTCTTTCCTCTGGGTAGGATCCCTTTAATTATCCTGTTTGGTGGTCATGAATTCCTTTAGTTTTTATTTAGTGCTTTAACTATAATATATCTAGGGGTGTTTCTTTTGTGATATTGCCCTTTTTGGTATTCTAAAAATCTACTGTACCTGGAAGACCCTACTTTTTTTTAACACTAGGGAATTTTTCTGCTGTTGTTTTATTGAATATATTTTCTATGCTTTTAGCTTGTTTCTTTTCTCCATTTTCTATACTCATCATTTGTAGTTTTGGTCTTTTGATAGTGTTCCAGAAGTCTTAGTAATTTTTCTTTGTCTTTTTCTGATTGCTCTTATTCTTCTACTTTATCTTGGATCCATGATACTCTATTTTCAATTTGTTCAATTTTATTAGTGAGGTTTTCAATTGAGTTATTTTTAAAAATTTGGATTATTGAGCTTTTTGCTTCCACAGTTTCAATTTTTTTCCAGGATTTTCATTTCTTTACTGAACTCATCTTTCATATCCTGTGGTTTTTTTCCTTATTTTGTTCAGGTGTTTATTTGTATCCTCTGAATTCACTCATATGTGTATATACCCTCTTTATTTTCATTGACCATTTTTATTATTGTTCTTTTGACTTCATTGTTTCAAATTTCATTTGCTTCACTATCATTCAAGTCCTTTATGTGGAACTGTTGATTTTTGGAAGAGACACGTCGCTTTGTTTTTCATATTGTTTACGCCCTTATATTGGAATTTGTATATCTGAGGCCAAGTCATGCCCTGGAAATTTTAATCACTTGTAGTCTTTCAGTTGAAATAGTCTCAGTGTTCTGGCAGGGCAGTGTAGTGACTGGGTTGCAGTTGCTGTTTCTCACTACTGGAGTGGGTATTGCTCAGTGGCCAAGCATTTGCCCATGTGCTCGGAGTATGGGGTCTGATCCCCAGCCCTCCTCAGATCAAGATAGCTGGAATCTTGTATAAAGTTTCATTACCCACTTCTCTGCTTTCACTATAGAAGATTCTCTTCTTTGTGTGATGGGCATTATGTTGGTTGCTCAGAGTTTATAGCCAGCTCAGCAGGTTACCACTTGTTCCACATGCCCCTTGTTTTGTGTCCCATGCCCAGCAAGCATCCAAGACTTGGGGTGACCCCCAAATGTGTCAGAGAGTGGGGTGAGCAAATAGAGCACTGAGTTCTGCACTGGCTGGGGGAGATCTGAGGGATTTGGTTGCTCCACCTGCTGGTTACAATGCCTACAGACCCCATCCAGCAGTTTAACTCCCTGTGCGGTGAAGGCTGTGGAATTTTTGTGATTCAGAGTTTCCTGGACTCTGGGCCCTCAGACCTGACTGCCAGCAAACACATGCCAGGATGCAGTTCCCAGGGATGGGTCTCAGTGCTTTCAGGTCCTGCTTGACAGTTCCTCTCCCTGTGTGGGGCAGGAGGCTGTGGATATCGTGATTCTGAAGGTCTGGGCTCAGGGCTCTGACCCACCTAGCAGTCAATTCACACAGCCCAGAGGCAGGACCTGAAGGCTGAGTACTAAGCCAGCCACAAACTTGATATTTTGTTCTCCCTCTCCCTTGAGCCTCAGGTGGTAAGACTCCCTCCTGACAGATAGGGCAGGGTCTGTGGGAGCTCCCTATTGCTTGAATTTTTCTAGGAAATCATTTCTGATCCTCTTCCTCTCCTCAACTACTCATACACTGTAGCAAGACTCACTAAGCCATGAGTGTGCCTTGTTTTCAAGCCTCCCAGAGTAACTATCTTAAACAATAGGCTCTCTCTCACGATGGTGCCTTGCTATCACCTTCCAAGACAAAAGAAGTGACAGAGTCACCAAGGCTAGCCCTTCACACTGGAGCAGTCACTGTCTCATCAAATCCCTGCTCTGTGGGAGGGATTTGTAGAAGATATGGACTTATCCTGCAGCTAGAATTTCTAGTCTGTTAACAGGGCCATCTGGTTTACCTTGTAATGGTGTCTTCAGCTTCCTGTCCTTCACCAAGCCAGGAATGAGCTTGGAACTGTTTGCTCTTTCCTCTGCTACCTCTGTTTCTCCTTTCTACTGTCCTGCTACCTCTTTTATGATTACCACTCTTCCTCTTCTCTCTTCAGAATATAGTCTCTCCTGTGTCACCTGGCTCTTCTCAGTCACAGTTTCATTTGCTTTGTTTTTGACAAAAATGGCAACATAGTGGTGCCATTATTCTTTGGGGAAAAAAAGATTATTTAGCAACAGAATCCAGATAACTAGATGTTCTTTCATATTGTCATTTTCAGACATGGAATTCCTACATATCAATTTAACAAAATAATTTGTTTAGTTTTCTGTGGTTGAAAACTGGATCAATTGTACACTTTTTGGGGGCTACTATGAAAACAGAGAAAATTCTTATGGGAAATATCTATAAATATCTGTATTATTTGCCTCAGTATAAATTCCAAAAGTAGAATGATGTAGTCAGAGTGTGAACATTTTTAGAGATTATGAAACATGTTTCTCAAATCACTCCAGAAAGATTGACTAGTTGACAGCCTTACAGACTATGTGCTAGGTTTCCAATAGTATTGGTATATTGGTAATAATATTGGTATTATTAACCTTCTCATGCATTTCAAAGTTTTATCATTTTAAGTTTGGTTTTTTGATAACTCATTAAGTTGAACATTTTTAAGTAAGATTTTTGGCTGTTTGAATGATTTCTTTGGTGAATTTTTATTTTTATTTATTTAGATTTTTTGATTCAGGGTCTTACTATGTTGTCCAAACTGATCTTGAACTCCTAGGCTCAAGTAATCATCCCATTTCAGCCTCCTGAGTGTTTCTTCCTTTTTGATTTGATAGTGTTCTTCAAATATTAAATGTTATTGATCTTTTGTGGTATATTTTTCCAAATATTTTCCTTTTGTGGTTTGTCTTTCAAAGTTATTTATAGTTTGTTTGGGGGTGAACTAAAGTATTTAATTTTAAATAGACTTTTAAAGAATAGTTTTTGGTTTACAAAAAAATGTGTGGAAAGGACAGAGTTCTTATAATTTTTTCCCTTTTTCCCCTTCTCCCCATCCCCTTCCACTGTTAACATCCTTCATTAGTTTGTTATATTAGTTAAAACTGATAAACCAATACTAAAACATTATTATTCACTAAAATCCAGGGTCTAGGGTAGGGCTCACTCTTTGTGTTGCACAGTTTTATGGGTTTTGACAAGTGTGTAATGACATTGCATTTACCAATACAAGAGCCTGCAAAATGGCTTTGCTGCCATTAAAGTCTCCCGTGCTCTACCTATTCACATCCTACCCCCCCCAATCCCTGACAACACTGACCTTTGTCCCATCTTCATCATTTTACCTTTTCTAGAAATTCATATAGTTGTATCTATATGTGTCTTTTTCAGACTGGCTTCTTGTACTTAGAAATGCATTTGTGGTCTCTTTTGTTGGTACTGGGGTTTGAACACAAGGCCTCACACTTGAAAAACATGTGCTTTACCATCTGAGCCACATCCCCAGTCCTTTCTTGCTTTCAGTTATTTTTCAGGTAGTGTGTTACATTTTTGCTTGAGTCCAGCTTCAGACCACAATCCTCCTACCTGTTCCTTCCATGTAGCTGGGATTACAGGCATGAGCCACCATGGCTAGTCCTTTTCATGGTGTGAGAGATCATTTGCTTTTGCTGTTGAATAATACTCTATCATAAAAGTATACCACCTACTCACTAAGGGCATCTTGGTTGTCACCAATGTTTACCAATTATAAATAAAGCTGCTATAAACATTTGTGTGCAAGTTTTTATGTATATGTAAGTTTTTGACTCATTTGGGTAAATACCTGGGAGTGCAATTGTTAGAGCTATGATAAACCTATGTTTGGTTTGTCAGAAGCTGTCAGACTGTCTTCCAAAGTGACTGAACCATTTTGCATTCCCACCAGCAGTGAATACAAGTCCCTATCACTCCACATCTTTTCCAATATTTGTTACTTTGAATGTTAGCATTTCTACTAGGTATACAGTGGTATTATTATAAGAGTAAATTGTTACAATTTACTCTTCTCTACCAAATGATGCTGGGCATCTTCATGTTTATTTCCATTTATATTTTCTTTAGTGAGGTGTCTATTCAGACCTTTTGCCCATTTTGTTTCTAATTGCTGAGTTTTAAGTTCTTTGTATATTCTGAGTACAAGTCATTTTATTAAAAGTATCTGATGATGGCACATGCCTGTAATCCTGGCTCGTAGACAGCAGAGGCAGGAAGATCAATGTTCAATGCTAGCATGGGCTGTATATGGAGTTCTAGACCAGCCTGGGCTATATACTGAAATTCTATTTCAAAACAAAAACAAACAAACAAAAAAAGAAAACAAAGAATTTGATTTATACATAATAAAAATAACTTGTGTCTTTTGTGTCAGTTTTTTAAAGTTTTTCTCAACCCTTAAGTTACAAATATGCTCCAGTATTTTTCAGTAGTTTTATGATTTCATTTTGAGATAATTTATAGCCAGAATCACAATTTTTGGGGAAAAGATGATTTAATTTTTTCCTCCATTTGAATCCACTTAGATATAATTGCCTTGCCTGTTTTTGATGAACGTGCCATGGAAAATTGGGGACTATTGGTGTTTGATGAATCACTATTGTTGCTGCAACCAAGTGATGAACTAACAGAGAAAAAGACTGTGATCTCCTACACTGTGTCTCATGAGATTGGACACCAGGCATGTGGTAAAATATTCTTTCTTATTTCACATGAAGATATTCTCTCAAAATAGCAGAAAACAAAAACACATACCAAATTTGAAAAGAGAAAAAAGTGTTTCTTGAAGTGCAACACTGAGTAAAAGCAGGGAAGGGTCTGCGCAGTGGAGCTCCAGTTAGATTTGAGCTCTTGGTGGTGAATCACAATGATGAGCCTGCACAGTCAAGCCAAAGGCTGAGGATTTACACCCAAAGGTTAACTTCAGAAAAGTAGGCCATACATGCCTGTACTCCCAGCTGCTCAGGAGGTGGAGGTAGGAGGATCACAGTCCAAGGCTAGCAATAGGCAAAAGTGAAATAACCTATGTGAAAAATATTACAATAAAAAGGGCTGGGGACATGGTTTAAGTGGTATAGTACTTGTCTAGCAATCATGAGGCCTTGAGTTCAAACCTTAGTACTGATTAAAAAGAAAGGAAGACAGGGAGGGAGGAAAGGAGAAGAAAAGACAAAAAGAAAAAGAGACAAGGAAGCCATACAAAGCATTTTTCATTGCACCTTAAAATAAAGGCTATTCAAAAGGATTGCTGAAAGACACCTCTTTTTCATCAGTGAATCATCATAAACCTTCATTTAATTTTGTTTTGGAGAGAGGTTGAATTAGTGCAGGTGACAATAACTAATCCTCAAGCTGTATCAACAAAGGCAGGAAAAGCAAGACTCATTTCCTCGGGTCTATATTCTTCTCATTGTGGTTGTAGAAGGCTAGTCACTTGATCTGATGGAGACTTCCACCCTGCATTTTGGTCTCTATTCCATTAACACAAGATTGTCAAGAAAGAAATCCTCTCCACCATGACAGTGTTATCTTCTCAGTTATGTGGCTCCATGAGAAGTTTTGGAAAAGAGCAATTTAATAGGATTGACTCACACCCAGTGAACATGCACTTTCACAAGTGTTGATCAGTCATTCCAAGTGTCATTTTTTATTATAACCTAAGTGACATTTTGGAATACTGGCTGCTAACAGCTGTTAGAAGAATTTGGTTAAATACCAGGGCATGGATTTGTTGATTTTGGAAATTAATGTGTTTTTCTGTCCCAGTTCTGTCCAAAATCCACACTTTTTTTTCTGTTTAGCTCAAATAGAAAATAATTACAGCTGGACCACATTGCAGAACACATGATTGCCTGAGTGATGAGTGTGTGGTATAGACCAAACTGTGTCCTTAAACACAGCATCTCTTCCAGCAAGGTCCTGCTTAGAGCATAAGGTGAAAGGATCAGGAGGAGGCCTTCGGCTTCACTTCAGTAACCCCAACTTTTGGACAAGCCCAATAGTTTAAGAAATGCTACTCTAGATGATGTCACGTTTAAAAATCACATTTTTAAAGCAAAATTGCTTTCCATCATTGGAGATGAAGTAATTATTTCAGAGGAATGCATGACTGATAGCTCCTCGTGTGAAAACAGAACCTGAGTTTTGGAGTCCTGTTTTCAAGTTTTATCATTGTTGGCCAGTCAGGTTTAATTATGTCTTTTTGACCTTACAGTTATTTAATGTGCAATGACAGTAAGTGTCACTTAAACCTAAGCTCTTTTTGTCTCCCATCTCCAACAGTGGTTTGGAAACTTGGTTACCATGAACTGGTGGAACAACATCTGGCTCAACGAGGGCTTTGCATCCTATTTTGAGTTTGGAGTCACTAACTATTTCAATCCCAAACTCCCAGGAGTGAGTATGCTTCTTGACTTGTATAAAATTTTTCTCCTAATCATAAAATTAATATTTATGTGTTAATGAAAACCTACGAAATGCAGACCAGTACAAAGAGTATAGTAAATGCCTAAGACTAAGACCAGAGATGATCCTTGATGTGTTTTTTATTCTAGGATTTTTTACCTGTTGTAAATACTTTTTTCAAGTGGGAGTGACATAAAAATTCATAATTGCTGTGAGCTGTGTGTTGAAAAGCATCAGATCTTGTTTCAGTGATCTCTGGGGGTCTTGAACTTGGCTTCTTTATAATATGCAATTTGATCGACATTGAGTAGGGGAATTACAGAGCCACCTGTAGAAACAGATTGACACTCTTTCCTGGTCTAATTTCAGCTGAAGTCACAAAGCATGATGTAAACGGGTTCTGGCAAAGGTTTAGAACCTTTGAGACCAAGGATTTCTTGGCCCTGGAAGCTCCAGCTCTGGTGGTGTCACTCAGTGACTTTTCTGTTTTTCGTCTCCTCCCTGGTCCAAGGAAGCAATAGACTTATGAAGGCCCTGCAGCTACCCAGGCCTCACTGTGGCTTTATGAGCCACATCCCAGCCCCTCACTCTGTCTTTGTCTTTGCCGGAGTCATATGCTGAGGCACCCAGCTGAACACCTTTGACCTTAAATGGGCTTCCTGTGCCAGTCAACAGATTAGAGCACTTGCTATGCTCTGTTAGGAAAAGTCCCGTTAGCTAAGCGTGTGTGTGTAGTGTTATGCACGCTATCTCATTCAACCCCAAGCTACTCTGAAGAAATAACGAGGAGGAGGACTCAGCATAAGGAGCTCATGTTGAGCACACTCTGTTTTCTGGGGATCATACTAAGAACTTTATGTTATAAGTGAATTTGGTCCAGTGGGGACAAAGTGTTTTCCCATTTTCAGATGGTAAAACTGAGTTTCAGAATAAAGTTAGCTGACTTTTATGAGTCATATAATTCCTAAAAGGCTGAGATAGAATTTAAACCCAGGCAGTTCAACTCCAATGCCTGTGCTGTTAACCTCAGTATTCTGTTCAAGTTACAACAAATGGGCCATCTTTCTAAAGATAGGGATAGGTTTTCTGTAGAAATGTCTTCTCTGGGGTATCACAGCTTGCAGGCTGAAGTAGCGGTGAGTGTACACATTTGTTTTGCCTAATCATTGCACCCAGAAGCTGAATATGTTTCCATGTTGTGTTTCCCTCAGCACTATAGAACAGAACAGACTGGAGACAGCTCACTTGGTGGGAGACTCAGAGTAGAAAATCTTCCAAGCTGTTGAAGAAAAGGCGTTTTATCTCACTCATCACATTTTCCTTAAAGATTATGTAAAACCATATGTCAGGCAGGCGAGAGAGACAGACAATTGATTCTGACAGAGGAAAACGCCACAAAATAGGGACAAGGTGATATGTAGTACAAAATCATTCATTAAAACTGATGAGAAGTCAGGTATGGTGATGCACACTTGTAATCCCAGCTATTCTATCTCTTAAAATACAATACAAACAAAAAGGGTGGAGTTGTTAGGCTGAAGTGCATAACACACAAGGCCCTGTTTCAATCAAAACAGTAGCATCAAAGAAGAAGAAAAACCAACCAAAAAACCCAACTGCTCATAATAACAAAAAGCTAAAAACAACTGAAGTGCTGCAGTCAAGTGTGGCCACTGACCTGAGAGCTATGTACTTGTTTATGTTAATGTGTTGCTTTGGGGCAGATGTTTTATTTGCTGTACTTTTGAAAAGAAAAATCACCCGTGACTTGACCACCCTGTGGTAATCACTCAAGTTTTGGCTTCTTTCCTTTGAATTTCATTTCTGATGCAGCAGCCCTGGCAAGGGATGGTTATGAAGAGGAGGTTTGCAGTAGTAACTGAAGTAGTAGGTGAAAAGGTTTTACAACTACAGGAATAAATAAACACAGGAAAAAAATTAGAATTATATTAACATCGTAGTGCTGGTTCTCTTAGGGTGTGAGATTATGGGTGTTTTTTATTTTCTAATTGTGTCTATGTGACACAGGTCAAAAGTGAGACGCTTGTAAGAGTGCTTGAGTGTTAAATAAAACCTGTTCTTGATGAGAAGGTTCAGACCTGTGCAGATGCTTCCTGTAAATTCTTGCTACTCAGAGTGTGACTCTTGAATTTGAAAGTTTATTGGAAATACAGGCTCCAGCCTAGACCAACTAAATTAGAACATGGTTTTGTCAAAATCCCGAGGTGGTCCTTACTTACATTAAAGTTTCAGACACTTAAAGACTCAGGGACTCGTGCCTGTTAATCCCAGCGACTCTGCAGACTGAGGCAGCAAATCAGAAGATGGAGGCCATCCTGGGCTACATAGTGAGACTGCATCACAGAAAACAACAAGAAAGTTTGAGACACATTGCTCCATGTTACAGGCTTTCACATTTTGGGAAGAGCACAGTTTGATAAGAGCCCAATCAACGGTTTTACTAATCAAAACTGAAGGCGCTAATAGAAGGGTTGATTGGAACACTGGCAAGGGAAGGAGAGCAGGATGTGGAGCAGTAAGACATTCAACTTGTGGACCCCAAAGACAGTCACTGGGGACTCAAGGCTTTATATGGATCATCCAGAGTTTGCCCAGCTTTCTAGGGCATGAACAAACTGTTCATACAGCTTCTCCACCTGTCTTCATCCTAAGCCCCTTCTTTGCCTATAAATTGATTTTTTTTTCTAGCTTTACATCAGGGAGAAATTGCCCTTGTTGTGTGTCTGAGAGAGACTTGTCTGTTGGAGGGTTCAGTGGTTGTCATTAAAGTGTAATAAATTATATTCTTATAATGCATGAGTCAGAAACACATCCAGTCCGTGGATTTCTTTCTGATCGTGTACTATGGTGGATTTGTAAATTCTAGCGTAGTGTTTGCTTTGTAAATGTGCATGTAGAAGATACTGATTCATTTTCAGGAATCACTGATTCAGTTACCATCAAAATTCTAGAGGATGAAAACCATGTAGTGAAGTTGTTCTCTGGAAGATGCAGTCTGATGGTCATAGACCACTTAAGGGAAGTGTACTGGCTCTTAATAATCACATTAACTTTTATAATTTTTTTTAAAAAAATTGAAATTAAAGAGAGGCAAATGGGGAGGAAAATATCCTATGGTTTTATTAGTCAGGAATTCTGACTTTTAGGGGGCAAATTACAACTCACAGATGCTTCTCAATTAATGTTTTCCTCTCTTCCACATAAATTTTGAAAATTATTTTAGGACTACTGAATTTTGTGTTTTCGTGACACCTCAGAAGTTAATGTGACTCAATCTTTTCCTTTATAGAATGAGATCTTTTATTCTAACTTTTTATATGGTGTCTTCAGAGAAGATCATGCCCTGGTGTCTAGAGCTGTGTCCCTGAAAGTGGAAAATTTCACAGAAACAAGTGAAATAATGAACCTTTTTGATTTATTTACATATCACAAGGTAAGAGCAATTATGTTTCCTTTTGTCTGTACTTTGCAGAAAGAGCCACAAAATGGATTGCAGGGTTATGGATTAATATGTAACTTAAAACTTTTGATATGAATAAACTAGTTTTATTGCTAAACTGGTTACAAAAATGTGGTTAAGTTCTCACTTAACAAATGTTAAGCCCATTAAATGCTGGGTAAAAATACTTACACAACTTGTTATGTTAAAGGCGAATACTTCTGTTTGGTAGAAATTTATTCTGGCATGTAAATATCTCATTAAAAAAATTTCTATGTACCCAACTTTTTATGTATGACATTTTATCTATAATTTAGTGATAATACACTATCTTATTAGTATATTTGGGGATAATTCAGATATTCAATTAAAGTGCAAAATGCATTAGGAACAGAGCCCTGGATATTACTTCTAAAAATGGACTTAGGTCAGTGTGTAGATGTCGAATTTATTCAGATAATAAACGGCTTCTTATGTCCTAGGGAGCCTCTATGGCCCGGATGCTGTCTAGTTTCCTGAATGAGCGTTTGTTTATCAGTGCACTTAAGGTGAGTTTACAAGATGGCTACCTGGATGACAGCAGATGTAAATTGCTATGCCATGCTATTTTTTTAAAATTTAACTTCTCTACTTTTACAGTCGTATTTGGAAGCATTTTCATACTCAAATGCTGAGCAAGATGACCTGTGGAGGCATTTTCAAATGGTAATAGTTCTGCTTTTGGACATTTTCTTGCTGAGCATTTTTGTCTGATATAAGATTGGGAGGGCATGGGGTGAATGACAGCTCCATGGGAAAATGATTTTGCCTTGTTCGTGACACTCCTTTAGGTTAGTGATTGTGTCTTTGGCTTTTGATCTCTTCCCATGTCTAGAACAGAGCCTGGCATGAATAGATCCATACATATGTGCTTAGTGACTGGATGAATGCATAAACTAAGGGACCACTCCTAGATAGTCAGCCCTCTGTCTCTGTGGTTCCATATCTGTGTATTCAGCCAACCCCAGGGGCACAATATTAGGAAAGTGTCACATTTGTACCAAACCTACACAGACTTTTTTTTGTCATCGTTCCTAATAGTACAATATTGTCACTCCTAAATTTACAGCATAATAGAAATTATAAGTAACCAAGAGATGATTTACAGTGTACAGGACGGTGCACATAGGTTATAGACAAATGCTGTAATGGTCATGAGAACCCATGGATTGTAGTACCCATGGGGGTCCTGGAACGAATTCTCCTCAGATACTGAAAGAAAACTGGGTAGACATAAGCAGTTCTGAATTTGGCCCATTAGAATGTCAACCACTGAGATTGAGGATGTCAATGTAGAGTAGAATGGTGATTTAGCTTTTTTTGGAGATTGCTACTTCATAAAGTTTTGCTGATAAACCATATTTGCTTTTGTGATGATTTTTTAAAAAAAAATAAAACAGGCCATAGATGACCAGAGTGAAATTCTCTTGCCAGCATCAGTAAAAAGCATAATGGACAGTTGGACATACCAGAGTGGCTTTCCAGTCATCACTTTAAACGTGTCCACTGGCATCATGAAACAGGAGCCATTTTATCTGGAAAAGAATGAAAATCAGACTCTTCTAACCCACAAGTAGGTAACTCTGCTTCTCTTTGTCTTCACCTTCTTGAGGTTGAGCTCTGATGGAATGGAAACTAGCCAGTGTGAGGAAGGAAGGCACAGACCCTTCTGCAAGGTGACTCCATGCAAAGTATCACTGTGTGCTAGGGTGAGGCAGAGCCCCCAGTCCTGAGCGAGTTGCAAAATCTACAATTAGGGATTTAAAACATGCCCCTGGCCTGGACTTGGAACCACATCAGTGACTATAGCTTTGGGGTGTTATGCATTCCTCATTGTCCATCAGACAGAGCTAATGAATTACTGGGGATTCTGGGTGACAGGCATTAAGACAGTGTCACAGGTGGCCACTTGTTACTTAGAAAAAAGGGTGTCCTGTTACAAAGAACCCTCTTTCTAGAAACAGAATTGAATGGTAACTCAGTTATCAGTCTTTAGAGGAATAGCTCTGTGTATACGTGTACACATTGTGTGTGTGTGTGGTGTGTATGTTCAAAGCCATATCCACAACGTTAAAATTATGGCCTCTAGATGCAGTTAGACCTGGGCCCAAATTCACCCAGATCCAAACTTTAGGTAGGACTTTTGTAAATTCTCTAAGTTCCAGTTGCCTTATCCATAAAATAAATCTGACAGCATGTATCTTGGGGAAATTATTATAAAACTGAAGTGATGAATAGTAGTCAGCATTCATCACTTTCTCCTCCTCTCCCCCTTCTTACTTGGTTTGTTAACTTCTGGCTTTTTTTGATAGTTCTGACCCTCACATTTCACTGCAGTGGGTGGCAGCATGAATGAGTGGTTCATTTTCAAACATCATCTCCACTATTTTCAGGTGGTTCTATGCATTCTGCAAAACCCCAGGGGAGAGAAACAGGAGCCCTGAAGGCTCTCTCTCATTGTACTGTTCTAAGAGGGAGGAGCCTTAGCCGTGCAGAAAAACACTGACCCACTGTTGAAAGTCTGAGAAACTAGGCATGTGAGAATTTGAGCAAGATCACTAATAATTGCCCAAGTGCCAAGTCACACATCTCTTCAGATGGCTGATGTCCTCCCTAAGATCGGCTGCCTCATCCAAGTCATGTTCACCAATGTGGGGAAAATGTAGGCATTCAATAAATACATATGTCCCAGTCAATTCCTATAGAACACATTTCATATGGGAAAAAGCTTTAAGGCTGAAAAGTATTTTGAAATGTTTCTCAAGCTTTTTCTTCTTAAATTATCCCTTCCCTCTCTAGATCTGAAACTGTCTGCATCATTTAAACACCCTTGAATAAGATCAGGTACTATCATTTAAAATAAATGGACTTTCAAAGTTTTAGATACAAGACACTCTTAGTACCTATGTTATAAGAAGTAAATCCATGAGACTCAATGAGAGAGAAGAGTGAAAAAAGATCCAAAGCAAAATTTTTTAAAAACAACCAAAAAAAAAAAAAAAAAAAAAAACCACACACACACACTCACAAAAAAAAAAAACCCAAAACCTCAGCTTTACTCCTAAAAGCAAAGACTGGCATATCCAGAGAGAATGGTCAAAGAATTTGAGTGCTGTCTCTATTATATCATCTCTTTGATGTTGGTTCTGAGTATATATTCTTATGTGTGAAAATTAGCTAACTGTTTTCTTTTCTTCCAAAAAGTAGCACATGGATTGTCCCTATCCTTTGGATGAAAAATGGAATTACACAATCTTTAGTATGGCTAGATAAAAGTAAGAGTAAGTAAAAAAATTCTGAAAAAACATTCACAAATAACCATCTATCAAGGAGAATAAAATGTTAAACTAGCTTTTGAACACTCACTTCATTTACAATGAGCATATAACATTTGTGTTGAACATAGAACTTTCAAGAAGTTTTAAGTGAAAAGTCATTATATGTGAAAAATATAACTATATGGTAAGACCAATATATGATTTAGAAATTCCCTGATTTATTGTTTTAAGTTTATTGTTAAAGATTTAGAGTGTATTGTATAAAAATGTATTGAAATTCTTTAAAAATGTACCATTTCAAACTGTTGGTATATATTTTTTTGTAGAAGTGTTCCCTGAAATGCAGCTTTCAGATTCTGACAACGACTGGGTGATTTTAAATTTGAATATGAGTGGATATTATAGAGTTAATTATGATAAATTAGGCTGGATGAAATTAAGTCAACAACTTCAGAGGGACCCAAAGGTAAGGTTGTTTGTGATGCTTTAATGCACTCTTATCTTTTTTCTTTTTCCCTTCCTCCCTCCTCCCCTCCCTTCCTCCCTCCCTTCCATTGAACCCAGGTCTCATGCACAAGAGATCTACCACTTGAGCCACACCCCTGGCCTTTTTGTTCTATATTTTGGTTTTGAGATAGGGTCTCGTTGACTTTCCCTGGCTGACCATCCTCTTGCCTCTGCGTCAGCTTCTCCAGTAGCTGGCATTACAGACATGCACCATCACACATGGCTTCTCTAGTCCTTTAGAAGATGAATTTTCTGATTAGAACAAATTTCATTCCTGTTCCTATCACTCATCCATAGTGGAGAGGTTTTTTTCTTCTTCTTAGAAAGGGGTGATTTTGGTTGAGCATGTTATATTTTTGAACATTCCTCTTGCTTTTCCAAATAATTTTACCTCTCCAGATAAGAATCAGAATACATTTTCCTATTGATCATTAATGTTGTGATCTTTGCAAGTCACTTAAATTTTCTGGATCCATTTCTTCACTTTAAAATGGGGATATTAGCATATTATACCCATCATTAGGATTAGAAATGATGCAAGTAAAATACACTTGAAATTTCTAAGTCAATAGTAGACACTTAGTACATGCTAGAAATATTGACTTCTAAAAACCATATTCCTCCTCTCCCACACTGGAGAGAATTCAATTCAAAAAGCACCACTAACAGTCTAATACACTTTATTAAAATGTTGACCAGCTCAAATTAATGTGACTTTAATTGGTTGAATGCAACTAAATCTCTCTTAGTAGAGGTAGACACTGGCCTATGGGTATAGACAGTGACTCTGCTGTGACTTGCCGTAAACCGTTGGGTGGTTCACTTAGACTTCATTCAAGAATCTGGAGTGTCGAATAAAAAGGTATCTTCAGTGTCTCTATTGGAAGGTTCTCTGAGAAACACAGTGGCAACATAGCATATTGGCACAGAGTTTGGGTGCTCGGTCAGATAGACTTATGTTTGTATGTTTGTTCATCATTTACCAGAAATGTGACCTTCAGCCTCTCATTTGACCAGCACCTTAATTTCCTTATCTGCATAGTGGTTGTAAAAGACCAAAAAGCTAAGTGGTGTTACTTCCAATAAAGAAACAAGATTACTACCAAGCTTGGCTTGCTCAAGGTGCTCAGAGGACTGTTAGGAAGATGTTTTCTAGAATTGAATACATCAAAGTGTTGAGAGCTATCGAAGGGTGGTGTTGGAGGCTTTGGGCACCCTTGGACCTGAACTTGAGGTCTAAGTTCTGTGGTCTAGGAATGCCCAGGGTTTTAACAGATGCCTTCTGTTAGGCTGACAAGTGGGCCCTGCTTTTCCATGGATGTTAAGTGTTCTAATGGTTGTTAATGTCGCATTAGTAAGGTCTTGAGAGAGCAGATACCATTTAAAAGAATTCCTAGATATTACTAAAATAGTGCTAACTAGTGTTTACTTAAAATTTCCTAGGTCCACAGCTCCCTTGAAAATAATTTGAATATCATATAGAACTCAATGTATGCTTTCTGTTTTGAGAAGCCATTGAAATTCAGTTGCTTGTTTTATTTTTTAACATGGCGTGTTTTAGGGAGTATTTTGGTAAAACTCTGCCTTATTTAAGCGTATCTAGAGGGATCTTTTATCAAAAGCAGATGTAAAATGAAAAAATTATGGGGAATATCCTTAGTAGTTACTATTTCTCTACACTCGAGATATTTAAGTTGTTGTTTTGAAGATTGTTTTGCTAAAAATGTCCTCATCTTTTTCTGTACATGTTTGGCTCTCATTCTGCAGGCTATTCCTGTCATGCACAGGCTGCAGTTGCTGGATGATGCCTTTTCCTTGTCTAAGTGAGTGTGTTGTCTTCTCTCATGGTTTTAGGGTGAATACCTTGAGAACTGTACAAAAATACCAGCTCCATCACTGCAAATATGCTTCTTTAATAAACACAGCCTGTAACTGATTAAGATTAGGGTCCAATTCTCAGGTCATAGTAGAATTTTACAGCATAAACAGTTGGAAGAAATAGTCTATCAGTTGAGATTTTGAAGTTCTCAAGGGTGATGGCCATAGCTCTAATTTTAATGAGATCTGGTTTATATTTTAATACATTGCATAATTATTGATTTCACGTATAATAAATTTACTCAGTGTAAGCTATACTTATAGGTATTTAACTCAGTCAATTATTACATGTTTATGATTTAAATTTTTAGACAATAAAATTATATATAATAAATGATCTATTCGTTGTCTCTTTGGCCTGTCCTTGTTCTCGAATATTTGTTGTGTCTTTACTGATTTTCCCCCTATGACCTGTAGCAAATTCCCTTTTCAGTACTTTGTTGAATCTCCTCTCCAAGGTCACTATGACTTTGATGCTGTTGACCACATCCTCCTGGAAACTCTTACATGCACACCTGATTTTCCTCATGTATCTAATTTCACTTCTTATTGCTGTGAACATCCTGAAGGCCAGTAATGGTTATGGCAGTTTCTTCTGACTTTTCTTTGGCTAGTTCATGCATTCTTAGGATTTCAGCAAGCATTTTAGCATGTACACAGACAGCATTCCAGATATAAAATGTTCATTAGTTATCCAAGTTCATTACCTTGAACACTGAATTATATTTTTTTCCCCTTTTTCTTTTATTATTCATATGTGCATACAAGGCTTGGTTCATTTCTCCCCCCTGCCCCCACCCTCTCCCTTACCACCCACTCCACCCCCTCCCTCTCCCCCCCAATACCCAGCAGAAACTATTTTGCCCTTGTCTCTAATTTTGTTGAAGAGAGAGTATAAGCAATAACAGGAAGGGACAAGGGTTTTTGCTGCTTGAGATAAGGATAGCTATATAGGGAGTTGACTCACATTAATTTCCTGTGCGTGTGTGTTACCTTCTAGGCTAATTCCTTTTGATCTAACCTTTTCTCTAGTTCCTGTTTCCCTTTTCCTATTGGCCTCAGTTGCTTTTAAGGTATCTGCTTTAGTTTCTCTGCGTTAAGGGCAACAAATGCTAGCTAGTTTTTTGGGTGTCTTACCTATCCTCACCCCTCCCTTATGTGCTTGGTTTTGCTATCATTTTCTCTAGGTGTGTGTGTTGAGATGATACTCATTTTATTACCCAAACTTGAAACTTCAGAGATATCCTTGATTCCTTCCCTCCTTTCCTCTCTCTCTCTTTCATGCTCAGCCATTCATATCTTACCTGTTCATTCTTGGCAAGGTCTTTTCATTTCTCACCTTAGTACTTTCACTGCCCTCATGCTAAGCCAAGTGTTCATCATATTTTTTTCTGACCTATTATATTAGCCTGTCACCTTTACCATTTGAATTCCATTCTGTCTTCAACACTGTGGCAATATAACTTTTGTCATCAGTTGCCTCACATTAACCCAGTTACTTAAACACCTAGAGTACCTTCCCACCAAACCTTAATGCTTCACCCCAATATTCAAGGGTTTGAACCACCTTACCCATTAGTTTCTGTCTCCTTGTACACACAGGCAAAACCCCTGCCTCTGTTAGCATTGACTGCATGTCACGCTAATTCCCACTTTATCTTCTTCATCCTGTGCTGCCTTCTCTACCCATTTCTGTCCTGCCCATCCTTCAGTGCTTTTCCCAAGTTCCTCTTCCATGAGGCCTTCCCTGACTTTCCCATGTGTGTGTTTTCCTTTGTTGAGACTTTATATTTGGTATTTGCTTCCTTTTCTGGGACCTTTCATTAATAGTTTCTTATGCATAAATCTCACCTCTTCACTAATGCTCTTAGTAGGTAAGTGTAGTGTCCTATGATCTAGTTTGCCCGCTGAAAACTGGCAAAGCATTAGATTGAGGATGACTTACAATCAGTACTTATTGATTGAAAATTATACTCTCCAAGAACATACACCAAATACACAATATTGTTTGCTCAATATCAGTCTAACATGTGACCAGGATTTTCTACAGCTTTCAATGTGGACCCTTGAATGTACCAAATTGAAATGAAAGGTCTGGCAACATTTCTTGGGTTCCATCTTATCAATAGGATGGGATCTCTACCATCTTGCTTTTGTATTTAATGTCACTAAATCAAATACCTTAGTAAAATTAGGCATTGAAACACAGAGCAGGGCTGGTGTATAGCTCAAGTGGTAGAACACCTGCCTAACAAACACAAGGCCCTGAGTTCAAACCCCCAATATTGCCTAAAAAATGGAGCACATATGGAAAGAGTACAAATCATGCAGGAGGTGAAGGTGTTTTTTGAGTGTGTGTGTGTTTTTTTTAAACCAAACAGAAACAATTATATTGAGATTGAAACAGCACTTGATTTAACCAAGTACCTTGCTGAAGAAGATGAAATCATAGTATGGCATGAAGTTTTGGTAAACTTGGTAACCAGGGATCATGTTTCTGATGTGAACAACTATGATTTATACCCATTATTAAAGGTAATTTCATGCTTTGTTAGTTTTAAAATAAATCCTCTCTTCCTCTTTCCATATTCTAGCCGACATCAGAGAGACAGAACTTCTCAAGGCAAAGACCTATTCATTTTCATTTTCTTTGCAATAGCTGAGTATTCTTAGAAGAAAATACCTTAGCCATAGACTCTAGATGGTAACTATGACAGAATTCAGGAAGGGGTCTTCATTCTTGGTAAAGTGACAGTATATACAAAGACACCAGAAGTTGTAGAGATAAAAATAACTTTTTTCTTATGGAAAAGGATAACATCTATTACAAACTATCTCCTAAGAGATTTTTGTAGGCAGACAGATATCATTTAGCAGCCCTAGGTTCCTAATTGCTACACTCAGATTGAGAAGATAAGCCATTGAAATCCATTCAAGAAAGGGAAAGGTTTTAAAGCTTCTTTTGATGTTAGAGAGGAAAATTGGAATTAATGAAGAAATGACATGTCATTTTAAATGAGAGAATGTGAACAGAGAGAAGTTCCATTATTAGATCTTAAATAGTACTAATAAGAACGATGACTCAGTAAAGTACATCTTGTACAAGTACTGAGAATAACCATGAAACCCTCTGTATGATTAATATATACTACTAATAATAAGAATAAAAAGAAAGGTGTCAAAGTAAAAGAGAGCAACTCCTTCAGACTTAGGAGTTACAAGCAAACCAGAAAGTATACTAGGGGGGGATTACACGTGAATTTCTAGGGTATTTTGAGGGTGATACCACAAATACCCCAGGTTCCAGATGTACCTTTTTTTTTTGTAGTACCCAAAACATTGATGGGAACTTAATTGAGTTTTAAGAATGGTGACCACTAGAAGGCTCTTAATGGCTGGGTTGAGGTGGGTCACTGATGGTATCTGATAACTAGTTCTGGGTAAAGAAGTAAAAATAATACTTGTATTTAAAGAACTTCAGTGGATAGCAGCTAGTTTGTTCTGATGGATGTATTAGCAAAAAATTAATTTTTATGATCTTATGTCTACCAACTGATAGTTGGAGAAACTATTTCAATTTATTCAGGACATAAATCAGTTTTCCTTCATTTGGAGGTATACATGCTGAATATAGAAGTTTTAAGGTAGAAAGATTTTTTACTTTTACAATTTTCTCTATATTGAAAACAGCAGGAAATTTTGGGGCAGATACTAAATAATAGTAAAAGCTAATATTTATTTTGCTCTTACTGTGTGCCAGACAGTGTACTCACAGATATTATTTTATTTAATTCTCTCAAAACACTGCAGCACTGGCATTATTACAAGCCAGATTTTGCCTATAAGTGAACTGAACCTAGAAAAGTAAAGAATCAGTTATACAGTTAGTAACAAGTATCATTTCTGAAGAAATAGCTGTCACTTTTCTATGAATATCTTTTAAGCTAAATAGAAACACAGTGAAAATTCAGTGTGTGAGCCAGAACTAACAGTATATTTTCTTTTTGGTTTACAGAAATATCTACTAAAGAGACTGAGCTCAGTTTGGAATATTTATTCAACTATAATTCGTGAAAATATGGCCGCATTGAGAGAGAATTATTTAGCTCTGTGAGTATTTCTAAGCAGTGAAAATTGGATAAAGCAGATGGACTTCCATATTTGTAAAATAAAATCTTAGTCATTATTATTTATTAAAAGCATTTGTACACTGTTTGAGAACCATGGCTCTGGGACTGGGGAGCCACCTTTATCCTCATAGGAAATAATAGCTTAATTAACTGCAAAGCACATGTGTACAGTAGAAACTTGTAGCTCTGTATCTCAAACTTTAGGCTATTGGTTGAAACTTGTAAGTGAATCCTACTCTAGGTGAAGGATTAAGGGTTAAGCAAAACTACCTCATACCAGTAAGTTGAAAGTCATGGGCAAACCATTGGGAAAATCCCTCTGTATTATTGTTAACAGGAATTTTATCATGATGAAAACATGAGATAGATTGACAGAGATACCTATCAGTTACTTGAATATGAGCACGTTTTAGTATTGCATAGGATTTTTCCAGTAAGTACGTGGTCATGATGGTCTGTCTGTGCAGGCTGGGCTTCAAGATTTCAAGGGAGAGGTATTATTAGCCTCAACTTCTAGTCAACACCAATATCAAATTTATTAAGCCAAACAAGAAATACAACACATACAAAATGATTGTTTCCTCTCAATAGTGCCCTTCTAAGAGGGTAGAAATTTTAGTGCTAGGGTATGTAACTGAAAGGACATAGAATTGAATGGAGAGGAAAGATGGTGAGGACTATCTAGGATAGAGTGGGTAGGTGTTGTGTGAATGAATAGGAAGACACTGTGCTGACCCAGGCAACACATATGTTAATCACACATTTTCTTGGCTCTCCTAAGTTGGAGTGATGCTTGTGTAGCATTCTGGGGCCAGTTCTTCAATTTGAGATCTTGGGGAGTGGCTGCATTTCCGCAGAATTCCATCTTGTTGCAGCCAGGTTGGGATTGGGATCAGTAGGAAGAGGTTATAAGTATGGAAATGAAAGTCCAGAACAGTCTCTCAGAGGACTTCCACCCTTGAACATTCCACATCTGCTTATCAGAATGTCAGGCGAGGCTGGATTGAAACTGGAGGGTGGAGTAACAGAAATTTGGCTTTTGCATTTTCTGGAAACTTGTGACCAGTTTGGCTTCCTTTATCCAGACTTCAATCTTGGAGAACGTAGTAAGATACCCTACAAGGGTGAATTCTGCCCGAATTCACTGTTGTTCTTTACTGTGGGTTTTTTTTCTTTGAACTTCTTATGTTTTGAACTATAATATGTACTCCTCAGTTATAAAAACAAATCAACAAAACCAACCCCTCTGTTATTTTCCTGGACATGTGTATAATAGCCAGGAGGAATAGGGAAAGAAACAGACATCTAAGCAAGAGAAAGCAAACTGTACAAGGGGATAAATAAACTATTTCTTTCTTTATCCTGTATAGAGGAAGAATTTGAAGTGTATTAAATCAGATACTCCAAAGGCTTTTTTTAAATCCATAAGGCAATTATTGTAAGAGGGAGGAAAAGTAAATTGACAACAGATGTGGAGTGGTACATCCATGTGTGTTTGAAGGAAATGAAGGATGGCAGTAACTTATTTCTAACTTTCAAAAAATACTAGTCTTAGGAGGTCTTTGGTGCCTGAGAGCCTCTCTGTGAATGTTTTCTGGATCTTAAATATGTATGTTATCACAAAAGCCATTTTTAAAAATAAACCTGTTGTTATTGGCAGGATGTTTTAATCTACTCTTCCTTTTATGAAATTCACATTCTTGAGAACAGAAAACTGATCTGCTTTTCTTTGGCTTTTCCTGCAAGAATATCACTGGAAAAACTTTTTGGAGCTGCATGTTGGTTAGGTCTTGAAGACTGTCTTCAGCTGTCAAGACAGCTCTTCAGAGAATGGATGAGCCATCCTGAGAATGAGTAAGGGCAATCCTATAAAGTAATTCCCCTGGCAGTATATTTTCTTTTCACACCAATGAGTTCTCTACTTTCAGAGTGATCATTTTGCTTTCACTTGCTTAATCTCTCTCCCTGATTTCTTTTCAAATATCCTTTCTTTAAAAAAAAATCCAATTGCCCAAATTAGGTTCGTGCAAAATAACACAAGATTAGAATTTGTACTCTGAATTGTCAACCACAATGGGTCATTACTGGTGTGTTCTCTTAATACACATTGATAGTGAATTCGCTGTACTTGTTTTAAGTCTTGAGAGGTTCTTTCTGGTTGTTTACTAATGTTATATTTGTGAACATATCAGGACCTCCCTCTTCCCCCTTTCATTTGCAGTCTCACTGAGAGCTGAAAACTACGATTCTGTTGTTTTGGGCTTCATTATTTCTGATATACTACTTCAGATGAACTCTTGGGAAATGTGTTACAGTCCACATTGTACATTCTAGTTTAATTTTCTGAAAACTCAGTTTCTCAACTAACGGTGATGCCTTCTCACAATATTAATGATAATGAAAGTTCCCATGATTGCCTCTCTAGATCTCTACTTTTGATGTTATGTGTGAGACCTTAACTATTTTTTTCTAGATTTCTACTTCTAAATATATGACAACCTGGGTAAATATATAACTATTTTTCATTACACCTTTCAGAATACCTTATCTGATTAAAAATGTGATTCAGTGTTATGGCATTGCCTTGGGAAGTGATGAAGAGTGGGACTTTTTGTTAAATTTCTATATGAATACAACAAATGAAGATGAAAGGATTCATCTTACTTATGCTCTTAGCTGCAGTAAAGACCCATGGATACTTAACAGGTGATTGTGGCCAACTTGCCTTCAAAGTTCCTGATATACAATTCATATACTGAGAGAGAGAGATTGAAACATGCATATTTGTGCATCACTGACTTAGACCCTTCAAATCCAATTATTTACCTTCTATTGGATTTTTAAAAATTTGTTTCCTATCTGTCAATGCCCTCTTGTAGGTTTCTGGAGTATGCCATCACTACAGCTCCATCTACTTTTAATGAAACAAATGTCATAGAAACAGTGGCAGCATCAGAAGTTGGCCGTTATATCGCAAAGGACTTTTTAGTCAATAATTGGCAGGCTGTGAGTACAAGGTAAGAAAGAAGCATGTGGGTCACTGGTTTGTGGTAGAAGCTCAGCTATAGTCTAGAGAGGTCACAAAAATCCTTAGTTCTGTCTAGAAAAGAGATTTCTCTGCATTTTGTCTCAACCACAAAGTGGAAGAGACAAAAAGCCATATCCTCAGGTTTGGCTCTCTGTATGAAAGTGATTTGCATAGGATATTATCTATCTCAGTTTTCCCATCATGCCCACCAAGAAATTTGTCTTAAGAGACACAAATTTGAGCAAATCATGTATTTTTGGCCTGAGTGTACTCATTCATTCGTTTATTTCTTGAAGTATATCACCACGTCTTTAAGAAACTATGTTCATTACTACAGTGGCCTGTATATATTTCCTTTATATATCTGGATTCTGGATTCCTGAGGTTTTAATTTTTCTTACCTTTTGAAATTAAATCTACTCTTTTCCTAGCCTCTCTGTTAGGTAAAATACACATTACTGTGTAAAATTCAGACAGAGAGCCCTAGATGGCTGGTCTTCCTGGATATTACATTCTTAAAACATCAGGATTAATGTGTCCCTACAAATACTCATATACTTTAGACTTAGATACAAAGTAGCCAAGAGTTAAGATCGGAGCAACTGAAAAGTTAGAAGATACTTTTTATAAATAAGTTTATCTCTTTCTTTGAGCCAGGCCTGATGTTCTGCACCTATAATCCCTGCACTGGCCATTTAAAATGGCAGAAAGATGATGAATTTGAGGTCAGTCTAGCCTCATAGTGAGTTCCAGCCAGATGGGTCTAAATGGTGAGACTCTTTCTAAAAAAAAATGTCTTTAAAAGAAAAATACACTTAGAATATAAATATTTAAGGATACAGATATTCACAGTTCTCTTACAGAAACAAAATGATGGGATATTTTCCTTTTGTAAAAATATTTCTTAAACACCATAGAGGTGTTTTTGTATCAGAAATTGAAAATGTGTAGATGGAAACTTATTGATCCTGTATTATTTTTCTAGCTCACCAGTACACACATACTCCCATACAATGAGAATATGTTCCTTCTCTCCTGTTTTGGATTATCTGTAGTTCCTGATTCATTGCTTTAGAGGAATGTATACATTCCTTACATTTTCAGGATTCACTCACACTTTAGAGGTGAATTAGGTCTTCTATTCTTGTTAAAGTCATTGAAGATAATCTCCTTCTTCCTTAGCCCTACCTCCCACTGGAAATATGGAAGTTGAACTTTAATTCAGAATTATTCACAGGTCCCTTTTTGGTCTGAGGCTTCCCTTTATTGCATGGTTTGTCTGTTGTTATTTGTGGAGCTTTTCACAAACTCTGTCCCCAGGTGCACTCTGGTTCTAGCAGATCTGATTCTTCCATCTGCTTCTTGTTGCTTTGACCAACTTGCTTCAAGTCATTCATTTCAGCCACAGTCTTTGACTCTTCTTCCAGAATCTCCTGTTACCCTCTTTAGTAAGAATTTTGGAATTATTGAGAAAACAGCTCTTTTAAGAAGTATGTCAAAGGCCAGGGATGTAGCTCAGTGGTACAGCACTTGCCTAGCATGAGTGGGGCACTGGGTTTGATCAACAGCAGTGGAAAAAAAGTCACTATTTACCAGAGGACACACCTTAGTCACCACAGGCTGTGACATCTCCTTTCCTTCTGTTGCAGCAGGGCCCTGAGGAAGACACATGTTCACAGTGGCTTTTCAGGTTTAGTAGTTCACAGTGCCTAGCTCTTGGTATGCTTATATCACTTCATAAGCAATAAGGATCTTATGTATTGCTGTGGTTCAAGGTGAGGTGGTACCTGTCAGTTCCAGGAAATATCTACACACAGACAGGTGAACCTAGGCACAAACCAGAAACTTTTGAACTTAGCAGAGCTTCAGAATCACCTGGATGGTTAATAAAGATCCTAATTCCACCTAGGCATTTAAAAACAAAATGGGATAATTGGTACCTTTCAGTGGCTTCCCAGGTGATGCCATGGGATCAGTTGACATTGTATTTAAAATTATATAAGGCCCAATATGGTAATCACTAGCTAACATGTGGATATTTACATTAATTAAAATGAAATAAAATCCAGATTCAGTTCCTCAGTTGCATTAGCTCTGTCTGAAGTGCTCAGTGAGGCTGGTGGCTACTATACTGGACAGTGCAGATTAAGAACATTTTTTTTTGAGGCACCAGAGTTTGAACTCAGGACTTCATGTTTGCCAGGCAGGCACTCTATCACTTGAGCAACTCTGCCAGCCCCATCCTTTAAGTTTCAAGTGAGAAATCTATTCAGTTAGAAGCATGTTATTGTTATTTTTTTTAGTCTAGTGACTGAAGAGGTATTACTGTGAGGGATACATCACAGTAGAACAAAAGCTGTCCAGCAGCAGTGCCAAATGTGTCTTGGGTGATATACATGTTTACTTTGGGATTTAGAGTGAAATAAAGAAAACGGATACCCAGATTTAGACTCCAACAAAGCAAAGATAAACTATACCAAGGAACCCAAAGAGCCCACAAGAACAACCTGAAAGAAGAAATCCTACAAGTAATTAATGAGAGTTTCATACAGATGTTACTAGACATGGTCAAACAAAATGCACAGGAGGCATTCAAGAAATTTCAAGACAACAAAATTAAAGAACATGAGAAAACACAGAAACAAATAAATGAAATAATAGGAACCCTAAATAAATACCAAACTGAAACAGAGATCACCATAAACAGAGAGATAAATGAATTAAGGGCAAAAATTGACAATATTAAAGAGGAAGTAACCCATGATATGGAAAACCTCAGAAAAAAGAATGAAACAGAATTGCAAAACAAAATGGAAGGTTAGTCTACCAGAATAGAACAAACAGAAGACAGAATCTCAGAACTTGAAGATGAAAGGGCAATTAAAGGAAAAACTGAAAAACTATTAGTTAAACAACTCAAGACCTGTGAAAAGAAAATGCAAGAATTCACTGACTCCATCAAAAGACCAAACTTGAGAATCATGGGCATTGAAGAAGGAGAATAGGTGCAAGCAAAAAGAATGCATAATATATTCAACAAAATTATAACAGAAAATTTCCCAAATCTAGAGAAAACTATGCCCATTCAGGTAGTGGAAGCCTCCAGAACACCAAACAGACCTGATCAAAATAGAACTACTCCATGACATATTATCATTAAAACAACAAGTACAGAGACTAGAGAAAGAATATTGAAGGCTGTATGAGAGAAAAACCAAATAACACACAACAGAAACATTAAAAGCAAGAAGAGCTTGGGTGAGATCTTCTAAGCACTGAATGAAAATAACTTCAATCCTAGGATGCTCTACCCAGCAAAACTATCATTCAAAATAGATGGAACAATAAAAGTCTTCCATGATAAGCAGAAACAAAAACAATATATGACCACCAAGCCACCACTACAAAAGATTCTCCAAGGAATTCTGTGCACAGAAAATGAAAGCAAACAAAATCATGAAAGGGCAGGTAATACCAAACCACAGGAGAAGAAAAGGGAAAAAAGTAAAGAATAACATTGATTCAGCTACACACAATCAAACCCTTAATCAACAAAGATTAATTACGTGATAGGGATCACCACGTACTTATCAATACTAACACCAAATGTTAATGGTCTAAATTCCCCCATCAAAAGACACCGATTGGCAAACTGGATTAAAAAGGAAGATCCAACAATCTGCTGCCTACAGGAGATCCACCTCATTGACAGAAATAAGCACAGGCTGAGAGTGAAAGGTTGGAAGAAGATTTACCAAGCCAATGGTTCCTGAAAACAGGCAGGGGTAGCAATACTTATCTCAGACAAAGTAGGGGTAGCAATACTTATCTCAGACAAAGTAGACTTCAAACCTACATTGGTCAAACGAGATAAAGAAGGACACTCCATACTAATAAAAGGGGAAATAGACCAAAAGGAAATAACAGTTATCAACCTGTATGCATCCAACATCAATGCACCCAATTTCATCAATCATACTTCAACATATATAGACTCCAACACAGTGGTAGCGGGAGACCTTAACACCCCCCTATCACCAATAGATAGGTCATCCAAACAAAAAAAAAATCAATAAAGAAGTCCTAGAACTAAATCACACCATAGATCAAATGGACCTACCTGATGTCTTCAGAATATTTCATCCAACACAATACACAATACACATTCTTCTCAGCAGCCCATGGAACCTTCTCAAAAATTGATCATATCTTGGGCACAAAGCAAGCCTCAGCAAATATAAGAAAATAGAAATAATCCTGTGCAATCTGTCTGATCTCAATGCACTAAAACTAGAACTCAACAACAAAAGCCCAGTAAAAAATAGGCAAACAATTGGAAGCCAAACAACACATTGCTCAATGATCAATGGCTCATTGATGAAATAAAAGAGGAAGTTAAAAGGTTCCTGGAAGTTAATGAAAATGAAAACACAACCTACTGGAATGTATGGGACACAGCAAAGGCAGTCCTAAGAGGAATGTTTATAGCCATGAGTGCATATATTAAAAGGTCAGAAAGATCTCAAATCAATTACCTAATGCTACATCTCAAACTCCCAGACACCGTAAACAGCTTCAGCAAAGTTACAGGATACAAAATCAACTTACAAAAATCATTAGCTTTTCTATACACCAACAATGAACAAACTGAGAAGGAATATATGGAAACAATTCCATTCCCAATAGCCTCAAAAAAAATCAAATACCTAGTAGTAAACTTAACAAAGGATGTGAATGACCTCTACCTCTACGAGGAGAATTACAAACTCCTGAAGAAAGAGATCAAGGAAGACTACAAAAGATGGAAAGATCTCCCATGCTCATGGATCAGTAGAATCAACATAGTAAAAATGGCTATACTACCAAAAGCAACCTACATGTTTAATGCAATTCCCATCAAAATCCCAATGACTTTCTTCACAGAGATTGAAAAATCTACCCTAAAGTTCATTTGGAACCACAAGAGACTGCGAATAGCCAAGACAATAC